ATGACAATGACAATGAGTGACTTAATTGGTTCCCAGAATTCTGATCAGAAGCCAGGTTCCCCTAACCCTCCTTCTGCTTTTCCTGAACTTCGGCTCCCCCTTGGCTTTCTCATGTGCCCCTGGTTTCTTGACAACTCAGCCTCTGCTCCTGTCACTGGATACTGTGCTAAATTTTTGGATTACTGTCAACACAAGCTTTGTTATAGTCATCTAAGAACTTAGAGGGATTCCATGATCCTTCCTGTCTTTTAATGGGAAACTGGATCAAGGTTGTCTTCAAGTATCTGGCCTCAATTTGGTCGTCTGGTCAGTTCCGAGCCAGCATGCCTGAGCCCTGCACTCCCGTTTCTGATCCTTTGCTGCCCTCTAGTAGCTGCTGGCCTGACTGTGCAGCTGTGCAGACCTGAAAGGCAAGGTGTACTTGCTGGATTGCAGGAGGCTTGTGCACCTGGATGTTAAGGAGTTGTCTGATGAGAGGAAGAGACCCAGTGAAGAATGTTCCTCAATGTTGACTTCTTTTATTTTTTCCCTGGTTTTTCACTCCGTCCATTTTTATAGAGCTCCTTTTCCCCTTTAGACATTATTAGAGGGTTGTTTCCACCTTTGAAGGAAAACAAAATGCCTTGCCTTTTTTTTTTTTTTTTTTTTTTTTTCCTGGAGTCAGTGGTCGGTGATTGAAAGTGTTTGCAAAACATCCCCAAGGAGCACTTTAATGTCATTTTTATGGAAATAAAGTGGAAAATAATAGGCACTATTTTTTTAAGTGAAAGAAAAAGGCCCTTCTGGGTTTTGGTAATGACTTAGGAAGACAAGATATGGTGAGCAGAAACCTTTGAGATTTAGAAAAATGTGAATTTCCTAAGAGAGAAGCACAAGAGTGAGACCTTTTTCTTTCATGTTTTCTGAGTCTATGCTTCTTATATAACTGTATGACAAATGGAATGGACTCTGGATCCTCCAAATTTTTCAGTGTACACACAAATACACGTATATTTGAATATTATTTTCATAACCATTCCTACTCTTTGTAAGCACTTGAAAATCGACAAAGTGCTTTCTTATTTATTATCTAGTTTGATCATTGCAGCAACCCAGTAAAACTGGTAGATTCAGCATTGTAATAGAATGGTAGAACTGTAAGGAATTTAAGAGACACAACTGCCTTATTTTACAGATCAAGAATCTAAAGCTTAAAAAAAATTATTAGACAAGACTCTTTGATCCCAAGTGACAGAAATCCAACTCAAACTAAATTAGCAAAATGGAGACCATCCTGACCCAAGTAACTAAGTCCGGTGTATTAGTGATTTAGAAATGGATGAATCCGGATGTTTCAATGACATCTCCAGGAATCTGTCACTCTCCATCCCTTGAATCTATTTTCCTCTGTCTTGATATGATTCAAAGTCAGCTTTTCCCACGTAGTGATATGATAGCAACTCCAAGTACATAGCCTACCATTCCCAGTGGAATGAAGACTGTCTTCTTTGCTAACTTTTGTTCTAACAAAAGTCCTGGAATTACATCTCATTAACATGGCTTGTGTGACTGCCTATTTCTGGACCAGTCCCTGCGACTAAGTGATTGCATGTTCCACTTAGTCAGCCTTGATACCCATTCCTGGAGGGGTAGAGGTAGGGGAGTGACAGCCCCATGCACACCACATAGACCGAGAGTGGGTCTGCAAGAGAAAATCAAGGTGTCATTATTCCCTGAAGAGGAAGGAGCCCTTGATGCTGTTTAAGCATAAACAATTCATGTGGATTAACTGACCTTTTGTATACATGGGTTCTGTAGCTTGTAAGTTAGAATTCAGAACTACATGTTTAGTATTGTGAGTTAGAACTTTGCCTGTGAATATACTTTTCTAGCAAAGGAATTGTACTTTTTTCACCTTTTTACATCCAGGGCCCATCATGGTGGCTGGCATAAGGGATGTGCCCAGTCACTTTTACTCAAGATGAAACAGCCAATAGGTAACTGCATTAGAATTTTATTTTATTTATTTTTATTTATTTTTTTTTTTTTGAGACGGAGTCTCGCTCTGTCGCCCAGGCTGGAGTGCAGTGGCCGGATCTCAGCTCACTGCAAGCTCCGCCTCCCGGGTTCCGGTCATTCTCCTGCCTCAGCCTCCCGAGTAGCTGGGACTACAGGCGCCCGCCACCTCGCCCGGCTAGTTTTTTGTATTTTTTAGTAGAGACGGGGTTTCGCCCTGTTAGCCAGGATGGTCTCGATCTCCTGACCTCGTGATCCGCCCGCCTCGGCCTCCCAAAGTGCTGGGATTACAGGCTTGAGCCACCGCGCCCGGCCTGCATTAGAATTTTAACCTGAGGCTTCTGACTCCTTAGACATCTTTCAACTCCGCCGCCCTATTTCCCATGTTTAATTTCCCTTTTCCTTACTTTCCACCATTATTACAGTTAGTGATAGTTGATTAAAATATTCTAGGTGTTAGTATTTGTCACCTACTTGTGTGTGTTTTGGTGACTCATAGTACACATTGCTTGAAGGAGTGATAGAATTTTTCCACTTCATTGTATCAGAAAAGATAATTATGTCAATATATACTCAATAGGCTACCTTCACATATTGTCAGTACAGTTTTATTTGAAGGAGTAGCATGTCTTAGAATTGAGGAGGCTTTATTGTAGTGTTTTTGTTTTTGTTTGTTTGTTTGTTTGTTTTGAGATGGGGTCTTGCTGTCTCACCCAGGCTGGAGTGCAGTGACGCAATCATGGTTCACTACAGTTCAACCTCCTGGGCTCAAACAATCCTCCCACCTCAGCCTCCTGAGTAGCCGGGACCACAGGTGTGTACCATCACATGAGCCTGCTGAGTTTTAAAATATTTTTGTAGAGACGAGGTCTCACTGTATTGCCCATGTTGATTTCAAACTCCTGGGCTCAGGTGATCCTCCTGCCTCAGCTTCCCAAAGTGCTGAGATTACAGGTGTGAGTCACTGTGCCTGGCCTTATAGTTTGTTTTTAATACATGCATTCTTACTATGGAAAGCTTAACTCCTTCCTATACTACAAAAGGAAAGTCATCAAAATAGCAGCTGGAACAGCAAGAAGGTTTGGAGGTTGTTACAGTACAAAGCCTTGTTGAAGATGGAATTACAGAGTTTTTAGCAATGTATTACTAGAGCTTCCAAAAACAGACACATGAATTACTTTAGAGATATATTATGTCCTTGACAGGCTATAATTATGCATGTTAGACCAGAATCTACTATCAGGATGAATGTGTATTTCGTACTTCCTTCATACACAGAACCAAGACACGTTTTTAATTTTAGCATCTTTTACTTTGCCTCTTTCTTTGTTGCTCTTGCTGCCTCTGACTTCAGTGAAAAACTAGCTGGGCTGTATGTTTCTTCATATCTGGAGAACAACAGGGTCCTCATGATCTTGTCAGAAGCACCAGGAATGAATCTGAGGTATGCTCTGGAAAGGCGGGCACAGAACACATCCCTTTTCCTTTTTCTTCTCTGCAAACAGTTAACATTCAAGAATCATGTTATTTGGAAGAATTTTCTCTTAAAGTGGCAGAGCTGTTGTTGTTTTTTAAAGTAATTTATGAGCATCCTCTTTTCCATAAGTGTTTCGTAAACAGTATTGCATATAAAATAAATCCACTAGAAGGGAAATCCTTTCACATTTATTTATTTGACAAAAGTTTATTGAACATTGGCTATGTACTAGGTACTGCTCTAACCAATGAACAAAATAGACCAAAAAATCCTGCCCTCATTTTTTAAAAAAAAGCCATGGGCAGGGAGCAGCAGACAATAAACAGAAAAATAATTAAAACAGGTAGTGTGTTAGATGGTGATTCGTGATATGGGAATAAAATAAAACAAGAAAGGGTAATAAGCTGGGTATGGAGGGAGTACTGTCAACAAACCACTTCATCCAACCTGTTTTAGAAATCTCATTTCTTCCCTTGATCTAACCTAGCTGCTGTGCACACATCACTACTCCTTATGGTTGGGGTTGGATTTTTGAAGTAGCTGTGTTTCTTTCCTTCCTGGTAGCACGTAAGCCCACCACCGCTATATCCTGGGAGTGTGGGAAATGAACGTTCTTTTAAGACAGCTTTAGTCTATGTATTGAAAATTCATCTTTTTAATTTGAATATAGAACCTCTCCCTATTGGGTTTTCCACTTTTCTTTATTATTCAAATAATGTGCTTATCTTCCAGGTTATCTGCAAATTGTTGGTCAGAGTATCTGACATAACTCAGCTGTATGATATCCTAAATCCATGAGATTATTTATATTAAAGTATTTATTAATTTAGCCCTAAAAAAAGAACAAAATTTGACTAGCACTACAAAATTTGAAGAGTAATACCTCCCCCTGCCCCAAAAGAGCTACCCAGACATTCATAAAAATAAAAGCAAGTGTTGGTCACTGATTCTGGGATGAGTTAGGAGGAAGAACCCCTGTGTGGGGCACAGAACCTCAGTACCTAGAACAAGGTAATCAGTAAATGTCTGTAGGAGAAAACGCCTGTGCACAGTAACCATGAAGGTCTGGACTGGGATGCTGGCAGTCAGGTGTCGGGAGGACTAGGATGCTGGCAGGAGGGTGTTAAGAGGCGTTTTAAAGGTGAGCTTGAGAAAGAGGGTGATGATGCAGCGAGCTTATGGAAGAGAAATGTGCATCCTACTGGGGAGAAAATGGAGCTTGATTCAGTTCAAATCTAGTTGGAGATAGTCATGAAGGCTGCCCACAGATGTTTGACTCAAGGATGAGGGAAGGTTGTTTTGCTTTGTTTTGTTTTATTGTTAAATGGGTTCTGTAGCTTGTAAGTTTTTGACGGACTCTTGCTCTGTCATGTAGGCTAGAGTGCAGTGGTGGGATCTCGGCTCACTGAAACTTCTGCCTCTTGGGTTCAAGTGATTCTCCTGCCTCAGCGTCCTGAGTAGCTGAGATTACAGGTGTGCACCACTATGCCTGGCTAATTTTTGTGTTTTTAGTAGACACAGGGTTTCACCATGTTGGCCAGGCTGGTCTTGAACTCCTGACTTCAAGTGATCTGCCCACCTCGGCCTCCCAAAGTGCTGGCATTACACGTGTGAGCCACCATCTCCCGCTGGGGGAAGGGAATGTTAAATGAGGGAGCAAATTTGGGCTGACAGTGGAGATATGGGAATCAAAGCAGAGAGGCCATTGCTGGAGCTCTGGGAGAGGATAAAATGCTGAAGAAGGTGACCAACATGCTGTGACAGAGCTTGGGGGAATTCCAACATTTAGGGGCAGAGAAAGAAGAGGCATGAAAGAAGGAAGAGGTTGCAGGAGTTAAAGGAGAGAAACCACTTTGTGCCATTGTAATCACAGAAAATTTTGTGGAAAAGGGTGTGTTTTAGTTGTTAATCCCAACTCCACCTGCTTATGATTTCTCTGACCAAACCAATCCATACTAATCACATGGAGCTAGTTTAAGGAAGAGTCTGGACTCTGTAAGCAAGTGTCAAATTGTAAAATTGTATTTCCTACCAAATACATAGTGGCTAACGAAAGCTTTTACTGCTCTCTGTCCTAGGCACGTTACACAGATAAACTCAGTTTACCATTCAAACAAGCCTAGAAATGATTTTTACCGTTTTGCAAATGAAGAACAGAAAGGTTAAGAAACTTATTCAAGGTCACACAGCCATTTAGTGGCAAAAGCAAGGTTCAAAGTCAGGCAATTTGATTCTAAACTGTGCTTTTGGCCATTATACCATTCTGTCCTACATAATGCCTCCGTAAACAGTTGGACATAGCTAGGCTGTTAGGAGGATTCTTTCTGGTAGTTTTTTTCCTCTTGTACAAGCATTCCTCAATTTCTACATATTCTATCTTTAACATTTTCCACCAGATGCTTTTAGCTGATGGATTTCTAAGGCTGTTACCTTCACAGGAGCTTTTCTGGCTTCCTCATGTTCAGTGGAGGCAACCTTCTTTCCTTGGCACTGTGATGGCCATCAGAGCCCTGCCTAGATAGGCAAATAACACGTGAAGTGTGCATTATACCCGCCCTTTTATATCACAACACACCAGAGGCTCTGAGCTACTAAGTGCTTTTTAATCACCCCAGATTTGCAAGAGCATGTCCTAATGACACTTCCTAAACGGCATCATTACTTCTCCAAAAGTGTTTTCTCATAAAATATTTGCTTTAAAAAATGCCTGATAAATTCTGTCTTGGGCAATTATACCAACTTTTCACACCCTTAGAACCTGTGTCAGCAAACTGGGTCTTGCTTTTTTAATAGTCCTCCATGACAGCTCATCACTGGCAAGTTCTGTTCAGTGTACATCTCCCTTGTCTGACCCTAATGTTTGGTCTCATGTTGACACACTGGTTGAACTAAGTAGCAGACAGTGGTCACAAGAATTATAACATGTTTGAGCTCGTGGTTGTTTTTGGCGTCTTTGAAAAGGGAAATAAAAATGGCCGATTATAATAAGCTAAGAATGAGTCAATGCGGTTGTCTGTAAGGAGCTGAAAAAGTGGGTGAGAGTCGCGTTTTAAGATCTCTGAGAACACTGTGTTTTAAAATACCCAGAAGATTTGGAAAATGCACAACATTTAATAACTGTATATGTGTTGTAGGGTAGGGGGTGTGGGGATCAGTATATTCAATGCTAGCCAAGTCAGGATGTTCCATGCTGTTTAAATAATGAGCTAAGCATGTTAAGCATTTTAAAGCAATTGCATGCAAAGAAAAAGAAATGTAATAGTTAAATAAGCAAATAAATGGGATTTATCAGGTGATTTTGTGTCAGAAAGATTTATGAAGTTGAAATGAAGAAGAAAGTGCAAATTCTTTTAGTACTTAAATTGACTCTAATGATATAAAATGTTGAGTATTTGTGGGATTAACCTCATTGTTTTACTTTTTTGCAAAATGAATTTCCAGGTTTAGGTATATGGCAGAACATTTTTGGTTTATGATGATTCTTTCTTGTTAAGAATCAGAAGAACCTCCAAACAGCACTGTTTATTTTTGGGATAGAGATGTTATATAAAAGAATGAATACAATGGCAGATAATCAAGGAAATGAGAAAATTGGAATAAGATTATGGGGCTATGTGTGCCACCCGCTGATGAAGCTCTGGAATGCTTTGGTTTTGAGAATATATTGGAACCTTTGAGCCAATCTTAAGGTTTTGTTTGTCCATACACCACGACCCACCCCCTTCTTATGATAAAATTAGTACCATATTGTTAGTGGAGGTGATATTCCAAATATTTCAAAACCAGCATGACACAGGCCAGTCAGAATGGGCAAACCACGCAGCAAGAAGGGATTCCTGGTAAACACTTGATACATAATGGTCTTTCATTAGATGGTACCTGTCTTAACTGTCACCTGTTTCTGGTTCCTTCTGGTCAGGGTGATCCTAGAACGATCAGCTGTGCTTCGGAGGGGAGAAGGTGATAGGCCCTAATTTTGCCCTCTGTCGAAATATGACTGCACTTAAAGGTTCTTTGTTAATTGAATTTGTCCCCCTGTAAACTAGATCACATTTTGTATCCGTGGCACAGAAACCGTGAGAAAGAAGAGGAGACAGAATGATTAGCCAGGGGTGAGAAGCTGTGGTTCTTTCCTGTTCTTTACCACTTACTAGCTGAATGACTTTGATGAAAAACACTTTCTCTGAAACCAGTTTTCCTTTTTTGGATCAAAAACCTACAATAGAGTTGCTCCATGAGACATTATGTGTGACAGTGCTTTCTAATTCATTAAATTCTATATAAACATGGTACACTTGTATTACACCTTAACAAAACTAATGTTTTAAAGAAACCCTGAAATAAGAATTATCATCTTAAGGGACTAGTCTGCCCTGAATCCAGCAAACCCATATTTTCATATATTGAGGTGTTTGTGTTTTTAAGAGGGGTAAACCTCTTGAACTAGCTCACTCACTCTTCTTCAGATCACATCGGAGCTTAATCAATCTATATTTTGTACAATTTTACCTGCCTTCTTTTTCCATAGCCCCTACGTGGTAACCCTCACAGAGCATGTTGTAAAGTTTGAACTGTCTAGACAGCTGAACCACCATAATTAACATGTTTGTGGCAGGTCCCAAAGACACATGCTTACATTGATCTGATAGCCAAGAAATGTGGGTCACTCTCTCTAGTGGTAGCTCATGTTAGGAGCTTGTGGTCCAGATTCCACCAGTTGCCTTGGCCACTTGAGACCTTCATCCTACAAGTCGATACATTTTGAGATAGAAAGCTTGCATTGTTGGAAGGCATTTTACCAGTGCTAGAGTTTAGGATGGGAGGCTAACCTTGCATTAGGCAAAGGAAGGACAAAGGGTTTAGAGCAAAAAGGTTGACCTAGGAGTGGCTCCCTGGGAAATCTCTGAGCATTAGCGAGGCCAGAAATGGAAGAAGATGGGAATACTTGGTGGATTCCTTCATTTTTTGGAAAAGAGTTACTCCAGGAGGCTCCATTTCTATAAGATTTCTGGGGCTACGCCTGGGCAGGCTAATAGGATAGATATGGATTGGCAGCCACAGTATTCAAATAGAGAAAAAAAACATCCCCTAGTTTGGGCTCTCAGAAACCTTTCAAAGAGCTCCACGATGGGTTATTTCCCCTGCCAAAGAAATAGGACATTTTAGTAGTTCTGAAGACCTTTCTTGGGACCAGAGGACAGAGCTTTAAAAAAAAAAATAAACGTGTTAGGAAAAGGGGAAAATATTTGATCATTTTAGTCATAAGGAAAAAGCAAATTGGATCTGAGTCTGTACAATAGCAAAGGTGCAAGAGATTCCTGTATGGTTTTGAGTTTTATTTGAATAGACGGGGCTGGGGTGATGGTGTTCCACAGGCAAGATTCTACTAATAGTAATTGGCAGCTGCGTATTCTGAGTGCCTGAATTTTAGGAAATATGTTAGATTTGGAGAAGAATCTTGGAAAGAGCTAACTGTAAATATTTATCTCACTTTAGCTAATAACTCAGTTCTCTATTACTAAGGTATATTTCTATTTAAAGCAAAAAATATATATATCAAGGAGGCTAAACTATTTCTAGGGATAGCCTAATAGAGAAGAACATAATATGGGTTGAAATTCAAAGAAAGATTTATGCTAATCAGAACAATTATAAAAATTTGATTTTGTACTACAGTCCATTTAATATAGTATTTTCTATTGATTAGTGGTTGCTTTAGCTAGACCATCCTTGGTAAAAGAATTCTGTTCTTTTCAAAAACCTTTAAAGTAGATGCTTATGATATTCAGATGTTTTTCACACACAAATTATTTTTCTGTTGGACTCAAAATACAAAGCATATGCATTTCAGTGGTAATGGATTGAAATTGTTTGAGTTCATATTGAATTTATGAATGAAGAAGAGAAAGTTTTACCACTAAATTTGGAATACTGGAAGTTATTTTAGAAACCAGCTTGAAAGGTTTTTCACAGCCTGAAGCGTAGAGAATAAAACTGTATGAATAATTCATAAAGTCCTAGAAATATTAATCAAGTAGTTTAGAGAGTGATATATCTTTTCATTTTGACTAATTGATTTTTTTTTTTTTTACTTAAACTTCCTGGCCAACTGTCTAATTTTTTTGTCCTGAATGTTTATGTTAACTCCTGTGGGAGAATTCTGGCTTTTGATTAAAATTCCCTACCAAATGTTAGTTTGTATTGACTATATAGTGAGCAAGCTCCTGCTGGCAGATGAGGAGGTGTGCTCCGCCTTCTTGTCACTTTGTGAATGGATTGTGAAGGGTTTGTTAATTTGCTCTTCACTCCATTGGAGCAGATACTCACAAATATCTGCTATGTCGCAAGACTGTTTTATTTGCATAATGAGAAGAATGGTTTGGGGGACGGTTGTTTGGGAAATAGTATAATAAAGTATATTAAAAATAGAAATACTTGGCCTTGTTTGCTTTTATTTCTGGTATCTTTAGAAACAGTCTTGACTGTGTTGCTTTCCAGCCAAGTCCTTTTTTTGGAAGGGTGATTAAAAGGGCTGGGACTCCATCTGCCTGATTGTCTGCCCAGCCCAAACCCTTTCTTGTATTCACTTTATGAACATACACTGCCTTAACTCTCATAGGTTCAGAAAGTACCAAAGAGGTCTCTGTCCTAGAGCTGCTTCCCTGCTATAGGCAAAACTATGATTCTTTCCTCAATCCCAAATATAAACGGCCCTCCCTCTTTTCTTTCCTTTTTTTTTTCTTTTTGTTGTTGTTTAAAGAACATAGTATATGATCCATGCATTTCTTCCTAAAGTAAGAGTGCAAGCATTTCACTTGCATTTCCCATTAAATGAGACATATAAAGGACACTGACTTGATGCTGAGAAGGAAAGGGGCTGATGGTGACTGAACTGACTGGATACATAGCCTTTTGCCTTAAACAGAATGCACTGCTCAGTGCTTAGTGTTAGATTTATGGAATGGCTCCTCTCCCAGCATCGTCCCTGCTTTATACAATTTGGTGCTTTGTTGCTATCGAAACGGCATTACTTTCTAAGCCATTGTGATTGTGAAGGGGGAGGAGGCTGTGGCGGGCAGGGGTGGTGGTAGTAGTGAATGACACAGATTTACCAGATGACATGTAGCGGACCTCTGCATCAGCCAAGAGGAATTAAGCTTTGTCACTCCCCACTGGGACTACCTTTCTCCTGGTATGTGCGCAAGGAATTCATATGCTGCTGCTGCTGCAGCCACCAGAGCAGAGCCCTGAGTACACTTTGCCACAGAGAGCAGTGAGCAAGAATGATAGCTGTCTCTTTTAAATGCCGTTGTCAGATTCTAAGGCGACTTACTAAAGGTATCGTGCTTTCCTTGTTATTCCCTCAGTGAGTCTGTTGCGGTATTCTATAAACACAGTTTAATGGTTTTTACTTTCAAATATGACTGCCTTTACAATTTATTGTCAGGCAACAAAGACCTCAGTGAAATATGTATAGATACATATGTAGAGGTAGACTCGGCTTTGCTTTCTGTCCTTACATCCTGGTTGTGTTTGTGCTGAAATCATGAAAGCAGCTTGTGTGATTTTTTTTTTTTTTTTTTTTTTTTTTTTTTTTTTTTTTTTTTTTTTTTAATGACTTCATTCTTTGCTGAAAAGAGAATGTGTTTGGGTCCGGTGCTGAAGTTATTGTGGGAAACCGTCATTTTGCATGCTGATTAACTGGTCAAGAGAAGTCAAGTGTGTGTTACTGTCCTTTCTATGATACATATACTAAATGCAACTGGCAGGTTCAGGACTCGCACAGCTGGTGGATCCACAGAATAATTGTTTGTTCTATTAATTTCCAACATCTTTTTCCCTGGACAACTTTAATTTCTTTATGTGTTAGAATTGCATGTCCAGAAAAGTATGTAATTCCAAACACTTTGGTCCTATGCAATATTAGAAGTTTATTTGCAAGTAAAAATCATTGCTCGGAATCTTATCAAGAATTAATAGCTTCAGATTGTCACTCTTAGAACTCTAAAATAGTAATTAAATTTCTCTGTAATATTTAAGGTATTATTGTATTTGAACCATTCTGGATGTGCCGTCTCATTTACTTTGTGAGCATTCTATTGAAAAGTTAGTAAATGGATGCCTTAAAATCTTGTCTTGTGTCCATATAGATATGTGAGCTCTCTTGCCTTATTTCCTTTAGATAGAACCTTCCTTAGAGAAAATTTATTATTTAAAAAAACTTCATTCTGAGCAAATGTATTTCGTTGCAAATGCCTTTCTTTTTCAGCCTGTAATATAGAGTACTGTTGAGTAATTAATTAATGGATATAATTATGTTCTAGAAGCTCCGAACCTATAAATATGTTAATGGATGCTATTTCTATCAGTTTAGCTTGACATATCAGAGTTCTTTGATCACCAGCAGTGCAGCTAAAAATGCAATTAATATTTTATTTGGCAGAAGAATGAATACAAAGCAAATAGTGAGAAATAGATCTTGAGTCAATAACAGGAAAGAGAATAAATACTATAGACCAACTTCCCGAATGCATTTGCAAGTTGTTTGGATAGCAGAGTGAGTCCTTTAAAAGGTACTTTGGGGGAAATATGGGGAAGATTATCCATTTTAAATTAGGCTGTTAGCCCGAGGCTGTAAATTCTGTTTTGACTTTATCCTCTACAATTGGAACAAAGGTACAATTTCTGTTTGTAAATCATGACTAAGAGACTATCCTTTCTGTTATGGTTTTAGCTAAGACTTTTAAAGCCAGGCCTCTTATTCTGAAAAGTTCTTTTCAGACCTAATTTTGGCATTTACTTATCTTGATGTTGAGAATTTAATGCTCTTCTTACATCATAAACATGAAACAATCATTATTTTCTATTTATCTGTATCAGTTCTTTTATAAGTCCTACATACTAGAAAGAGAGTGAACCCAAGCAATTTATACTTCTTACAAATATTTTTTACTTTCCCAGTTTTCTGAATTTTATGGAATCATTGATCTCCTGCATTGAAAGGAGATTTAAGTGTTTGTTAATATAGCTGCTAAAAATCTAGATAATTGAGGAAAGTGTCGGTACCTGCTTTGGAGTTGCTACCTGACACTTTTTTCCAAAATCTTTATATCTGCTCTATTTCGTATTTAACTTAAGACTGCCAGTTGATCATTAAAATAAAATCTCTATGCAGAATCAATTTGCCATAATTGGGCTCTTCTTTATGTTTGACTGGCTGTCCAAATACTTACAAGAATGCGCCTGAGTAACACGGTACCTTGCCTTGCCACCTGCTCCAGTCTTGTCCAACAAAGTTCAAGTTCCACCATGCTTCTTGTTCCAAAGTGGATTCATTGAGTTCTAGCACCCTACCCATGCTTGTGGTGCTGTTTTCTTAAGCTGTAATAATAAAACCAGGAAACATATGTAATTACAATATTAAAATGACCTTTCTTTTAGGGTCAGGAGTGTTCTTGGGGACAGGGGTGGATGTACACTTGAAGTTTCTTGTCCCCTTCTCCCTATTCACACAACTCCCACACCCTCACCCTCAATTCCCAAGCATACATATTTCTTTATACCTATTGAGGGCCCCATCTAACACTCACTCTTCCAGACATTTAGCACAAGGCCTTACACTTAGTAGGCACTTCAAAACTGTTTGTTAAAATGAATTGGATTTATCTAGTTGAAAGTAATAGGGCCTTTGAATCTTCTGTGAGCTCCTAGGAAGTGCTTTGAGAGTTTTATTAGACCTCTTTTGGCTAAAACCTTACCCAGATCTTAGCAGGGGGAAGTTTGCTTCATGACTCCAAAACTACCTTGCTATTTGTGGTTGATATCACCCACAAGAAAAAGCAATATGACAATTGCGATTTCTTCTTAATTTTCTTAAGGAGAAAATGATGGAATAAAAGGGAAACAATTTTCTACAAACACTCACATTCTTGATATTTTTACTTGATTCTTACATTCTTCATATATCTAACATATATTTAACAAATATTGATTAAGTACCTACCGTGTGCCTGACACTGACCTTTTTGCACTTAGAATTCTGGGCTAGTGTAAGAAGCATTTTTAAAATCAATATGTTATTGAACAATAAATATTTTTTCTTTAGGTCAGATGTAATTTTAAAAGATGTATAAACCATATATTTCTAGACAAGTCCTTGGATCACACCACATAGACACTGACCCACAGTATTATAGTAGAATATATTTCAGGTGAACTTAGCACTTCTCCGACTTGGGAATTGAGTCATTTTCTTATTAACGTTTCAAGCTGCTATTTCAATCATTTTGCCTTATCAGGTACCTACCAATGTAGAACAAGAGCAAGAAAATAACCTTTACCCAAAAGGCCCATGCCTGCCATTATGAGAGGATCTTTGGTTCACAGAAACACCAAGCACCATCAAAAGCATTCCCTTTCCCATCTACTATTGAAATCTAAAGAAGCAATGCTGTTCTTCTTTTCTTCCTCCAGAATAAGGGTCTACCGATTACCTAACCTTAGAGCCAAATCCCAAAATAACATTTTCTGAGGTTTCCAGAGACATCTGACAATAGGATTTTCTGGAGCAGGTAAATCTAGGCTTCTTGGTACCTGCCTTCACAGCTGTTTACCTGGGATAGCCCTGGTTTCTCAGCTAGGGGCTACCATACCTCAGGAGAAGGGAGTTATGTTCTCAGAGAAGGGGAGATATTTTCATGGCTCCTGTAGACTTTGTTCTTTTTCTCTTGTCATGATTGTGTGATTACTCTTCCTTGAGACAGGTTGGCCTCATATGCAGAGAATCACTTTCTGTGGTGATACTGGGTGTGATTCTGCTGCTTGCTCAGGTGCTGCCATTTCCAACTCCACTGGCAATGGCATTTTTCTTTCACAAGCTTCACTCTGCCTACCAACGCCAACATCAGCCAATTAATATTTACTGACATTCCACAGGAAGCACGGCTCTGAGCACCTTTCATTGTTTTGCTGCCACCCACTCTCTCTCTCTGTCTTCTCTCTACTGGCTCAAAGCTCACGTCGGAAATCTCTGCCTTCACTTTAGTATAGACTTCAACATTTTTTATCATAGCTGGCCTAAGTGTCATTTTATTTTCTACTTATCTTCACTTTCTCTCTCTTCCCAAATACACATATGGCCTAAAATAGAATTAACTCTCCCTGTCCCTTTCCCACTAACAAACTATAAGCAGCCCCATTGACCTTCATCCCAATGGGGTGTCTGAATGAGACATCTGTGGCTGGCAGGGAAGTGCTCCCTGCTGTGCATTCTATTTTCTTTCACCCTCCCTCTCTTCTTCCTGGTTTCTCCTCCCAACCTCAGTATCTTTTCTCCTTTTCTGCTGCCTGGGCATGGATGGGTATTGCTCTCCACTGGCACTGAGCAAGATTAAGAGGCTGGGTTGTGATCACACTCACACTCATTTTTTTCAGTCATTGTTCCCTACATTTGCCCCAGTCATGGAATCATTATGCTTGAAAGGGAAGGTCAGACATTCGTCTAGGACTTGTTTCCAGAGAGAACTGAAACTCGACCATCCCAGACAACCAGCAAACTTATTCTCAATTCTCTCCAACAAGAACAATCTTAAAGTTTGTCTGATAAACTTTTAATGGATTATTCAGGTGACGTATAAATCCCTTTAAACTCTGACACTCATCCTGTGTTTAACAGTTCTTCTATTTAGAAACTAATTTCCTAAGTGTAATCTTAATTAAAGAAACACATTTAAATGTTTTGTCTTAATGGAAGAGGAAAAATATTTCCCATCTTTTCTCGTCTGCAGACTCTTTTAAGCCAAGGAATTCTGAATCCATCACAGAAATCAGTATCAGTGTTCTGAACATGATGGCTCCTTTGCTGATGGCCTTGGATTTTCAGTTCTGGTTGCTCTGCTCTTTCCCATCTGTCTGTGTCTAGCCTTGTGGTTCCTTCAGCAGTCTTCTCTAATGGTTCCTCATCCACTCTGTGATATGATTCAGAATTGATAATCATCTGGGTTGAGAATGCTCTCTCTGCTGGATCTCATTTCTCCTGTCTCCCCATCCTCATCCCTTCTGCTAACCCTCATTGGCCTCCTCTGTCAGATCCTGCCATCTGGAACAACTTAACTGTATCCTCCACCTGATTAACTTTCCACCCCTTTCCAAATCTCACCTGCAAACATGTTCTTTCTCCTTTGCCTCCACCCCTTCATTTCATACCATCACAGCTAGTGCATTTAACATATTTATCTTTCTAGCCTATCAACTTTTAAAAATAATATGCACTTACTAGATATTTCACAAAGTTAAGTCTGCCTTGTTTTATTGGAGTCTCATCTGTTGCTAGGGCATGG